GATTTCTTTGCCTTCTCCACAAGCCAGGCGGCAGCGAACGCTTCTTGACCAGCCTGGATTCCACCGCGTGGAGCAGCATGTCCAAGATCCAGCTGACAGCTTAGCAGGATAGCGTCGGGGGGAGAATACATCCCCGCTGCAGGCCGGGGGACGGACAGAAACGCAGCACAAGCCATGAGCCCAGGGCTCTCTCACGTTGCTCCAAAGATCGGGCATTGGATCGAGGAAAACAACGGGGGCGCCGACTCCTTTCAGCGCGAGCCCCAGTGCAGGCTCAAGAGCTACTCGTGAGGCAGGCAACGAAAGTCTCAGTGCTGCTCAGCTGGGAGCGGTAGCGTAAGGGAAGCGCTGGCTAGCAACCCCCCCCAGTGAAACCCCATGGCTGGAGAGAAGTCAGTTCAGGAGCATTCGCAGCATCCTACCAAACAGGACAGAGTGAAGGGGCCCGCCAGCAGGGAGATCTGCCTGCGGTTGCTGCACTTGGTGCGAGATCCTCGGGCCTTGAGCAGACACACTCCGATGCCGCCTTCCCACGGCTGCCCCCCCTTGCAGAGAGCAGTTGGTGCAGGCCGCAGGCAGACGTCCCCTGCCCTTTCAGACGTCCTCGAGCAAGAGGATCAGACGCCGTGGGGCAAGAGCTAGGCCTGGAAGGATCGTCTTAGGGCAAGTCACGGACAACGCCAGCGTGATCCTGGCAAACATCGCTACTTGCAGATTAATCTACTGGGATACGAGCAAACTGAAACGGTCTTGCCTCTGGGTGACGCTGGGCTCCTTCCATTCGGGGGAGGGGAGAATCGGTTTGCTCAAGGCAGGTGCGCGCGAGCATACACTGCGCATACCCCCATGCAGGCACGACCTGCAAAAGCCACTCGTAAAACCGGCCTGGTGGGTTTCCACGAAGGGGTGTGGGATGGTGGAATTGGCGACTCCCTAGCAATGCTCCATTTTCAAGTTCAAAGATGGTTTTGCAAAGAGTAAACTCCCCTGGGGAGCCCAAGTCTAGCTGGACTGCATCTGGGTCCGGCACCGTTAGCAGGAACGAAGGGTCTACCCAGAAGAGAAGGCACCAGTCCTGCTGGCGATACGCTAGCCAGACCAGAACCCCCCTCTCCCCTCCCTCCGGTGGGGTTGGCTCTACAGGGCTGAGCTGTGAACTTATTTTTGCCCGTGAAGGCAGCAAGATGCACACAGAACACGCCTAGGGAGCCAGCTTCTTGGGCAATTCCGGAGACATTTTTCTGACCATGGCTACACTGCTGAAGAGAGCCACGCTTCTGAGGCAGGGCTAGCTTCCTTCTGACATCACATCCGGCTGGAGTTCGCCGTGAAGCCCCTTTCCTTCCACAAGCTCTCCTGGAGCCACGAACGCCTGCTAGCTGGAGAGGTCTCTCCTTCCTGGCCAGCCCTTCCAAGCAGCCGCCACTACAGTGGTCTCCTTCGCAGTGATGTGAGGCACAGGGCCCCTCTGTTCAGAAATCCGAATTCTTGGACGTTTCATCAGAACAGAGAGGGCTCGCCCATACCGGGGGCTTGTCGGAGGGTCGCGGGCATTTTACGGACAACCACACTTGCACCATTTCAGCCCTTACCCTGGCCATATCCCTTGCAGCTACCTGCAGGTATTTAAATAAAAAGATACTCAGAGGACAGAGCAAAGAGTCTCAAACTGGCACTGAACAGTGGCACAGCCCTAAGAAGAATCTGCTGCAAGTTGAGCTGCAAACATGCTCACACCCTGCTTTGCTTGAGCTCAGTAGCTATGCAACTGCGCCTGTTCTCACGCAACTGCGCCTGTTCTCACGCAACTGTTCTCACGCAACTGCGCCTGTTCTCACGCAACTGCGCCTGTTCTCACGCAACTGCGCCTGTTCTCACGCAACTGCGCCTGTTCTCACGCAACTGCGCCTGTTCTCACGCAACTGCGCCTGTTCTCACGCAACTGCGCCTGTTCTCACGCAACTGCGCCTGTTCTCACTCCCGCTGCAACGGCTGGGCTTGCACAGGAATTACCATGTGCTTTGTGCTAATTGCTATCGTCAGTGCCTCCCCGGCTCCATTTGCAAACAAGCATGAAGCCACTAAAGTACAGCAGGACTTCGGGCAGCCGCTAATGAGGAAATGGAGCAAATTAACTAATTAGAAGAGAGAGAGTCAAATGAGTAACGTCAGGCAGATGATGCATTCCCCGGTGATAAACAGTTGGTGGCAGAGAGGCCTTCTCCCGGCAGGCGGGCTGCGCTCTCAGAACCGGCCTCCCCTCACGCTGCGGCGAGTGAACACGGCCCACGTGTCACCAAAACGACTGTTTTCTTTTCATTAATTCTGTGCCAACCAACTGCACCAGATTAGCTTTTCCTGGGACACACGGGGCGCCACGAGGCAGCCGGCACAGCGAGCTCCCTTCCTGCCAGGTCTCCCACCTGGGCCTAAGAGACCATCTCTACAGAGGACTGGGTCTCCGTGGCCCACTCAGGCCAGGGCACCTCTGCTTGCATGGGCAGGTCAATGCTGGGTTTTGACGGGAAGACTGAAGAGCTGTTGGGGGGCTGACTGGGGCAGCCGGGACACCTCAGGTACAAATCAGGCCATCGGCGTCTTTGGGGCTGTCCAAGTTGCAGTGACTGTGCTTAGCTTCATCTCCCTCCCCCCGTGCAGCAGCCGGCCGGAGGAGCGCAGAGGGGGCATTTCAGGAGAGGGGAAGGACCAGCAGGCGGCGGCTGGTCGCCCAGGGATAAGCACATTGTGACCTGGCGGCTCTTACCTGCATTGGCCTGGAGAACATGCTGGTCAGCACTTCTTTCCTGGCCTCCGCGTAGCTGTCTGCACCAAACACTTCATTCAGGCTTTTCTGGGAGGAGAGAAGGGGGGGGAGACAAATGGATGAGAGGCTGTGGGGGAGAGCCGACAAGTCCTGCTCTTTGCTGCTCTCGGATCTCAGAAAGCGCAGCCACTTTGCAACAAAACTCTCTCTTCTCTGCTCACAGCCATCGCTTGGGAGCTTGGCACCGAAACCTCACGGAATATTTCCCCTCCACACCCACAGCCTGGCTTGTAACAGCAGGGCCTTCCCTGCCCCGGCAGCCAGCCTGGTGCTCTCAACCTGCTCAGCTAGGGCAGGGCTGCTTGAAATCACTAGGCTGCAGACAGGTTTTATATACTGCGGTCACTTCTGATGCTGCTCAGCATCCTCCCTCCAAAGGCAGCAGCCACGGGGGGCAGAGAACCCAAGAGGCTAATCTCCAACCGTGTAGAGGGAAGGACTTTTAACCTCTCCCATTTGCACCCTCCCCAGCAGCCACGTGTACTGCCCTGCCCCGGCTCAGCGCGCCAGCAGAGGTCTGAAGGGTGCATCCATCTGAAGGGGCCACTGTCCTAGGCCAGCGACAAGCGGCGCTGCCTCGCCCTCCTTGGAAAGGCCCCACATGCCCACAGCCCGGCCGAGGGGCACTGGGCCAGGCCCAGAGGGGGCGCAGGCCACACCTAGTGGAGCAGCACGAGGGAGGCGGACCCAGACTGCATTCATGGGATCACCGGCGGTCTCGGGGCAGTGAAAAGGAAATCCTGGATTCCCGGCTTCGCTCTCCAGCGGAGGTTACGCGTCGTGGCCTGGACTACAGAGCGTGCTCATCTGCGGAACAGTCTGATCCCCGGCCTTGCAGATACCGGGCAGTGACTGCCCAGCTTTGGTTTCCAGACCCACCCCTGAAACTTCCTCCTCCTCTGCAGAAACTGCTGGTGAGAACAGAGCGAGCCAGCTGCCTGACCGCCCAACACGCGGCACAGCCCCCTCAGAGGCCTCTCTGCTGCCCCGGCTTTTCCTTCCCCTCCCCGCAGAGCCTGCAGTTTTACAGGCCCCGCAGGGTGTCATGCCTGCAAGCGGGGGCTTTGGTCCAGATGGAATCATTGCTACCCATCAGGACAGGACTGGGGCTCTGAGGGTCGCCGCCGTCCTAGGCGCCGACAGCGCACCCATCGGCACGGTACGCAGGCCACCGGCACAACTAAGCTTCGGGCAGAAGTCATTCCTAACAGCCCCGACTCTTTTGCCTCCCTCGCTGCAGCCATCGCTCCTCCCCATCCCCTACAGCTCCAGCACTGCACTTCCCTAGGCTGTCGTGCAAAGGTTTTCTGTCTCCGAGGGGTTCCGAATGCGATGTGCACACATCAGTGACTCTGCAACGCCCCCAGTGGGAGAGCACCGATCACAGGCTACCCACTCCTGGGTGGAGCACCTCACAATCTTTACAGCGTCTATCGGCCGGGCAGGGCTGGCTCCGCGTGGTACAGATGGGGAACGGGGGACACAGAGATTGGTGACTTGCCCAAGGCAACCCAGGAAGTCTGTGGCAAATTGGGAAGTAACCCCGTCTCCTATGTCCCTGCCTAGAGTCCTAACCATTGGGCCACCCTCCCTCTAACACCTGCTGCAAAGGACGTGACTGAGCTGAGATCAGACTGATGCAGGCTGTGGAAGTCAGGAGGCAGGACTGCCATTTCGCTGCTCTAACCACTACACCACACTTCTGGAGGAAGGGGGGTAGCACACATTGGCTGGCGCCGCCTGCTGGTTACATGTAGAACTCGACCTGCTCTGTGCAGCCACAGCACGACTAGAGGTAACTCTCGGATGGGTGAGACGTTCAGCTGCAGCCTGGGGGGACATGAAGCCCTGGCAAACCCTGGGTCTATGCTAATGGAGAGGGAGGCAGGGTGTGAGGCATCGGACACTGTCTGCCAGGGTCCACCCACTCCCCGCCTCTTTTCCACAAGCCTTATCGGGTAACGCTCTAGACTGCGCATCTCCCTCCTCCGCCTTGCCAGCAAACGACTTAGCAGCCGGCTCAGCTCTGGCTCACACCAGGTCCGGGATCTACCCCTGCCGTGGCTCTGCATTAGAAGTGTATTAGGAGCCAGGTGGGCATGCAGCCCGGCTCAGTTCTGCTTCATGCAGGGTCCGGGAGCTCAGACCTGCCCCCCTCCCCTCCCAGACGGGGGCTGCTGCCACCCCGCAACTGATGCCTCTTTATCAGAGGCAACAGCACAAGGCGACAAGCAGCCGGTCTGAGGGGGGAGCTGGTTTTAAATTGGCTCCCCTTGTGGACCAGTTCCCACCTGGCACCCCGCGCTACTGCCGGCCCCGCCCCCAGGGACTATAGACTAGTCAACTAACCAATAAGAATTCATGAGGTTACTCGACTATTCAGTTCACCGATACTTAACAGCCCGACTTCTGGCCAGCCACTAACTCTCTATGTGCTCACAAGCAGCTCTGGGCCGGGACCTGCCCAGCCGTCCAATGGGGAGACCCTCACTTTCCGGACAAGGGGCCGCGGGGCTTGGCCAGCTACCGAGTGGGTGTGGTGAGGAGGCGGGAAGGGCTGGGCAGTTTTTAGGATGGTCTTTCCCGGCCCTCCCCAGTTGGTTTGAGACAGGAGGGCATCACCAGCCTTTTCTGAGAGGCTGGCTCTAGTGCCAGGGTGGGGAACCTCAGGCCTGGCCCCCGGCTTCCTTGGATCCGGCCTCCGAGGCTCAGGGCCCCCCCAGCACGGGGGAGGCCCCCCTGCTGCCCCACCACAGGGCTGGAGCACAGACAATCTACTAGGCTGGCCCCCCTGGGCTCTGGTGTGGGAGAGGATCGTGGGGGGTGTCTCTCTCAATGAGGGTCTTTTTGCTTCTCACTTGTGTGCGGCCCCTGACTGATGTCTCTGTGGGTCGGTGGCCCCCACCCCTGCTGTAGGGGACATCATAAGGAGCAGAGAGACCTGCCCAGTGGTGGGCAGCCTGCGCCCCGAGGGCCGCCTGTGGCCCTTTGGACTCTGTTCCCTGCTGCCACACACAGGCTCGTCAGATTCCGCTGGTTTGCGTCGGCGGGGTATTTTCCCCACCGGTATTACAAAAGCGAGACTCGCTTCAAGCCAGGGCACGTGAGTGGGGTGCCTGCTGGTTGCACACAGCACAGAGCCGGGCACTCCCTCTGCACCCCAAGGGCTGCTGCGAGCCAGTCGGCACCCCCTGCAAATTCTAGGCAGGCAGGCGCACTTAGCAGCAGCTCCTCTCCCGGGAGACCCTCTTGCTTATGACAATCTGAGCGGAAGGAGGCCACTCACTAGCCTAGGCTGCCCCTCACCGGACCTGCCCCGGGCTGACGATGGGCAGGGGGGTTGGGTCGAGGGAATGCCTGTGCACCTGGAAAAGAACACACATGGCAATGCATGCCCTGTTCGCTATGCCCAGCGCATGCCTACAAAGGCGCCCCTCTTCTCCAGGCTCCCTTGCAAGCTCCCTCGGCCAGTTCCACGCAGGGCCCCTGCTCCACTTCCATGGCTGTCAGCCAGCTGCAGCACTGCGCAGAAGCCAGGGCAGAGCACCCAGGGACTGGGGAGCAGGGAGCGTTCCACAATGGCTGGGGGAGACAGTCTCAGGCACCCCAGGGGGCTTCACCCCGTAGCCGTTCTCCTTCGGCGCAGGCCCCGGCTGCGGTCTCCACTCACATGCAGGGCCCCGGCACTGCTGAAATCTATCACCAGCCCCATCTGGTCACAGAACTCCACGAGGTCGTTCAGCATCTTGGTCTGCGGCGGCGGGTGGCGGCGCAGCAAAGCCAGCTGTGGGAAGGAGCGGTAGATCTGATGGGCGACCGCCATGTTCGCTAGCAGCATGAATTCTTCCACCAGCCTGCAGCAGGAAGAAGAGGCATCCTGAGCGTTAAAGCAGGAGAAGCCTGAGGGCACGAAGTGCCAACCTTCGTCAACAGGCATCCCGGCTTGTACTCAGCGCCGGGGGCTAGAGCAGCGGGGGAGCAGTGAGTAGCAGCAGCTAACGAGGATGATTAGGCCTGAGACACCAGCAAACCTCCCCAAATCCTCTCTCCAGCTAAGGTGCCTGCTGCAGACTCAAAAGGGGCCATCCAAGTGGGGCAGATGCCCGCAATAACCCGACCACTCAAATCCCACTACAGGCCATTGGCTCTCCTGAAACATTTGACAAGACGAGCAAAGGCAGTGGGAGAGACAGCAGGGGAGACAGATAGCTGTTGCTCTGAGCCAGAGGAAACACATGTCAGTCTCCCACCCCGAGAACCACGTGTGTGGTCGGCATGGCTACAGGCGTCTCAGGCGAATTCCCACACTACGATTCTGCCCTGCACAAGCGCCGAGGACATGGCTGGACAGGCAGGCAGATAGCAAAGAAAGCAAAGCAGCGTTTCCAAGTGCGGGGCTGCATGGACGCTAAAGCCAGCTTTGGGGCTAATTGTGTCTGTTAGCTGGGATGCTCACGGAGACCAGCCTAAGGCAGCCTCTTACTCTCCTGAAAACACGGCCACGGGGACACATTGCAAGCCACAGCGCTAATGGTGATTCTAACAGCGTCACGGGTTCCACGCGCCTCGCTGCAGCGCTGGGTCGCAGGAGACGTACTTACCCGGGCTTGGAAAAACAGCGAAATGTGTTTAATTGGGCTTCCCACCCTTTGCTCCACATATTCTCAAGTTAGATTATCTGCCAAAACCCATCCTAGAGCTGTAAAAGCAACATCGCCCTCTCAGCCTGGCATATGCATATGGCCACCAATTATGCTGGCATAGGAGCGTGGTTCGTGCATGCCAAGTGGCCACAGCAGAGCAAGCAGGCGATGTCCTTTGTGATGGAGCCTAAATGCCTTTGTGGCAGAGTCCCAGGACTAGGCACAGGACTTTGCTGTACTAAGCAACTAGTTGACTACCCGATAAGCAACTAGTCGCTTACCCTTATCGACTTATCGAGTAGTCAATGGAAATTCCATCAACTACTCGATTGGGTGATTAATCAAAAGAAAACGATAATGGAGACCACTGGGACGTTTTCCTGTGGCTACTGAGGCTAGCAAGCACCTACACCGTATTCCTGGGGTATACGGCAATAACAATCCAGCACCCAAAAGAGAAAGGTAATAATTAAAACCAAACCCTGAGGAGGAATAAACAAGTAACGGTGATAATCAGCAGTGAAAACGCTCATCTGGAACGGCTCCCAGCTCCTACCAGGACCAGCGCCACGGCCTCTCCTTTGGGTTCGTGGAGTTAACAGGCTGCCATCCAGACTTCCGCACACACAGGCTACAGAAGGGGCACTATTCCCAAAAGGCCAACAGCTTCCTTAGGGAGCCAGGTTTGAAAAGGAGGCTGGGGGTAAACAGGGAAAACCTGCTGGGATAGGGTCCCCAAGAAACGACTAGCACGGTAGGCAGCAAATGCTAATGCTGAGCCAGCTGGGGTTTTATTTTAGGTGATCAAGGTTACTTGCAAGCTCTGGCAGAAGCGACAAGTCCTGCAGTGCTCACCAGAGAGCAGAGGCTGGGTTCAGTGACTACATGCCCATGGCAACAGATTTCAGAGAGGAAAACGGTCACATTGGAGATGGCTAAAGTGGCTTCGGCACAGTTCAACCAGCAGATGGCAACATTGGTCCCCTTACGGCAGCTGGTAGCTGCTGGCCATCTGACAGACTAAGCAGCGTGATGTAGGTGACCGGTTCGACTTTCCATTCACGGTGTAAAACAGGCGTTTCTAAAGGGCAAACCAAACCAAAGAGGGGTGGTAGGGTTCAAATCACTCACCAGTGAAAGGGAAACCTCACTGGCTTCTGTTGGAGCCAAAAAAAACCTCTGTGCAAGATAAAATAACCACCTAGAATCAACACGCCTGGCCTTCACACTTGGAAACAGAAATTAATTCCCGGAAGCATGGTACGTGTACAAGCCTAAGCACTGTTATCAGGGTCCACATTTCTACAGCAAACATATACTGCACGTGGCGGTGGGAAAGGTCATTACAATGCCTAACCCGCTTCACCGAACCGGTCTGGCAAGCGCCGAGGCCAGTAAAACGTATCGTGCCAGATTCTTTACTTTTCTCCAATGCATATCACCTGGAAAAAGAGAGCCCGAGATTTATAGGAGCAGGCAGAGCCCCACAAACATATGGGCAGCGGTCACTGGGACACGGGTGCTGCTGTACCACATCAGGCTAATGGTCCCTCTACTCTAGGAGCCTCTAACTGTGATCAATAGCAGGGATTCAGAACCAGGCACAGAACTTCCCTAGAACATGCCCAAGGGGGAAATCTCTCCCTAGTCAAAGGCAGATACCAGGGCTTTATGTCCTCAGGCATAAATTACAGCCCTTGGACTTATCCAAAGTCATGTGAATGCAGACTGTATTTTTATTGTTCACAGAGTGTTTAACGTACCTTAGCTCTTACCTCAGGCTGCAAATCTCTCCGGTTCCTTATGCTTTCTATTGTTTTTTTTTTTTTTAAATTTTTTTGCCCATTCATTTTACTGGGTGTTCCCCTTTGTTCTCATGAGCAACTGAACACGTCTGACACCTACCCTCAATGCCATGGGCTCATTTCTATACCTCTATCATGCCCCCCTTTGATTTGCCTTCTCTGCCAACCAAAATAAATGTCACAGAACACTTCCTCATCTCTGCAAGCGCACTTCAATCTGGATTTGCAAGACCCCATTCTGAGGGCCCAGCTCTGCAGCATCCCTGCCGGACTGGCTCCTCTCGTCCCAAGTTTACCAAGGAGAGATGCCAAATAACAGGTGGTTTGGGGATATGGCTAGGAAAGGACGTCAGAGGAGACCAAGCCCTCCCAACTGCTTTCATTGTGACATGGCTGGATATGAACCCAGCTTTCCAGAGGGGACACGCCGGTGGATTAACTCACTATGCTTAAAGCCCCTGGTTAGGGGGCTAACTAGCTAAAACTGAGGCACCACAGAACAATTCCCTAACAATGACCCCAGCCTTTCCCAAAGGGGAGGTGTAACCAAGCATTAACCAAGCATGGAAGAACATTTAAGCAAGGCTGGGAGACGCGGCAGAAGCGTTCCCTTTTTGGGCTGTATCTTATTGGCCAACTCCGATAGTGCTATACAAGCATATTTGTTTCTTCTCAACATGTGATCCGAGAGTCTTTGAGAGCCGGTACCTCAACACCAGCAGCCCAGAACACACACGCAGCCCTCCAAGAGACCAGGACGCTCGCACAAAAGAGGGAACTGGCTTTGGCAAGGAGAGGCAATTGGGTTTCTGGTGTCCAAAGAGAAGTTAACACAATCAAGAGAAAATGTTTCAGAAAGTGCCTTGACCGTATCCTATTCGAATGGCAGTTTCTAGCCTTCCCCGCCCGGTTGGGTCAGTTTCTATTGGCCCGGATCGCTACAGAGCCTGTTCTGCTGGTGTAGATAACCTGTAACGGTTTGAAAAATCAATGGGGACAAACTCCCATAGGCGTTGACAGCTTGTCCTTGGCTGCCGGGACAGAGAGCAACACCCCCCACACCATATAGGTAGGGTTGAAAGAGCCAACTGCCCAGAATTAACCCCCCTACCCACCATGTGACTTCCACAACCGTTTTCCTTTGGAGCCTACCTCTCCGCATGGAGATACTGACTTGCTTTTTTCAGCTGCAGCCAGCCAGGCAGAAAGAGCCATTTGGGCTCTCCAAGTGTGAGAGAGGAATTAACACTGAGATGCTGCAGCAACGTGCCTGTTTTAAACTTCAGACTTGCCAGGAATTTAGTCTCCCAGGAGAACGGGCGCTGAGTGCCCATTTCCGGAGGGAGGCTCTCGCTGTGGGCAGCAGCTCTCCAGAGGGAACGGCCACCTCCAGGCTCAGGTGAAGCCTGAGAAATCGCTGCCTGGAGTGAGGACCTGACGGACCCCGCTTGGGCAGAGGAGCCAGGTCTGTGGTCAGAGCCTGCAGGGCCCGCAGCTGGCTTGAAGATGCTAACACACGGGGGCCCACTGCACTTACAAAGATCGCCAAAGGGTTTTCCTTTGGGGCTCTTAGACGGGAGGGAGATTTTGTGTGAAAGTTGAGGAATCTGTGTTCACCTTTAAGGGGCAATGCCTGGGCAGTTACCCAGCATGGCTGGTTAGTTCAAAGACCCCAAGAAGTGAGGGTCTGGGAGCACTGGCAGAAGATGCTAACACACGGGGGCCCACTGCACTTACAAAGATCGCCAAAGGGTTTTCCTTTGGGGCTCTTAGACGGGAGGGAGATTTTGTGTGAAAGTTGAGGAATCTGTGTTCACCTTTAAGGGGCAATGCCTGGGCAGTTACCCAGCATGGCTGGTTAGTTCAAAGACCCCAAGAAGTGAGGGTCTGGGAGCACTGGCAGCATAGGCTGGGCCCCCGGGGCACCCCGTCGGAATAGGCGGGCCCCCCGCCCCAGTCATGACCCCCGGCTGCCGTGAGAGTCTAGGGCTGCAGAGCTGCAAACCAGGAAAGCTCGCAGGCCCCCGCAGGTCTAGAGGGCCCTTTGGAATGGAGCTGCCACAGGCTGTAACTCCAGCTAACGTTTTCATTTTGAGAGCACAGGGCTTGCAGTCAGCAAATGCTACTTTGTGGTTCGGAAAAAAGAAATGGATCATCAGGCAGGCTGGAGCTGAAGTTTGGCTGGCAGCGTGTGGAGGCCAGCACCGAAGCCTGGCTCTGTCATTACCGGGAGCAGAGCACTGAAACTGCTAACTGTCGGCAGGTCAAACGACAAGAGGGATTTTTTTTTTCTTAACACAGCCTCACTCGGAGTTTGGCTGGGTACCTCTGGCAGGCTGGAGCGAAAAGAAAAATATTTCATGGCTAAAAAAATGGAGACAGAGAGACTAGTCCATTTGAACGTGG